AGGTTCAGGGGCTTGCCACCAAGCCTGGAAACCCAAGTTCAGTCCCCAGGACTCACATGGTAGAAGGGAGAACCAACTACAGCAAGCTGTCCTCTGAGCAGGTGAGAGTCATGTGCACACGCACACAGTTTAAACAGAGCGAGCAAGTACTACCCTCATCCCATCCCAAGTGTGACCGCTTGACCCCGCACTCTTAGCACACTCATTTCTCCACTCTTGTCACTTACTGTCCTCAATCACTTCACACCTACTCTCTCCAACTTTCCAACTCCTCATCTCTTGTTTTCTCATCAAATGAAAACTCCCACTTCCTAGTTCCCTGAGAAAACTGATGGTATCAGAAGAAACACTCTGCATCTACTCCTCACACCCATCTGCTGACTAGGAACTCTACTATACTCAAGATTACATAAGCTTTAAACCATCCCTCACCAACACCGGCTGGAAAGGCATATGTGGCCTGGGGCTGTGACATTAGACAGACAGACTCCTGCTCTGCAGACAGATCCAGCAGACGAGTGTGCACTATGACCTGGATGCCTAAGCCTTTCTGACGTGAGTTTCTTCTCTCACTGAACTCAACGGCAATGCTGTACTTTCTCCTGAGGCATCTGCTTTTAGCTGTACACGAGTCTTGGCATCAGCACATGGCTCATTTCTTTCCCTCATCCTTTTTTTTTTTTCCTTAAAGGTCATTTTGGGGTGATAGAATGTTTTAGAATTTCCCGGAACTCATTAACAATTACAATAAAGTAGCAGAACCCAAAAATTAACATATAAGAGTCAATCACTTTTGTACAAATCAGCAATGAACAAGCGGAATTTTACATTCTTTTTAAAGAATTAGTACCATTTACATTAGTACTCCCTCAAAAGATATACTTAGATATAAATCTACAACATATGTACAAGATCCATATGAAGAAAATTACCATGAAATAAACCACAGAGCAGCTAACAGAGGCATTCCATGTTTATGAAAAAGATGGTTCAATATTATTGAGATACCAGTTGTTCCAACTGATCTTGACACAATCACAATCAAAATCCCAGTTAATTTCATAAATACTAAAAATCTGATTCTAAAGCTGGTTCTGGGCAAAAGAACCAGCATAACCAACAAAATATCAAAAGGGAAGCAAAAAGCTCTTTAGAAAAGATGACCAACTTGAAGACTGACTATAAAGCTGTATCAATCAAGACTGGTCAAAAGAACGAATTCAGGGTGGAAGAGATCCAATAGTTCAGGAAGTGGTGCATGCATACACAGACAACTACAGTTCTCTGTGAAGGAAGGAAGCAGAGCAATAAGATGGAGAAATGAGAGGCTGCCCTACTAAGTGGGCATATAAAAAATATTTTATATCTATAAAAAAATAAATGAATCTAGACACAAATCTTATAGCCTCTAAAATTAACAAGGATCATAGATCTAAATATACAGTGAAAAATATAAAACTCCAAGACAGCACAGAAAAATAACTAGATTTTCAGTTTGCTAACTAATTTTTAGAAATGCTGTGATACAATTAATGAAAAATAACTGTAAGATGAACTTTATTAAAATTGAAACATATGCTTTTTGCAAACGATATCAAGAGAACAAGAAGAACAAAAAGACAGACTAACAGGACATACTTAAAAAGATGTATGTGTGGGCTGGAGAGATGGCTCAGAGGTTAAGAGCACCGACTGCTCTTCCAGAGGTCCTGAGTTCAATTCCCAGCAACCACATGGTGGCCACAACCATCTGTAATGAGATCTGGTGCCCTCTTCTGACCTGCAGTCATATGTATAGTATACATAAATAAATCTTAAAAAAAAAAAAAAAAGACATATGTGACAAAGTATTGTAATCCAAAACATACCAGGAATTCGTAAAACTCCACAATAAGGATATAAACAATTGAAAATGAGTCAAAAGAGTCAGGCAGTGGTGGAACACATCTTTAATCCCAACACTTGGGAGGCAGAGGCAGGGGGATCTCTGTGAGTTCGAGGTCAACCTGGTCCACAGATTAGTTCCAGGACAACCAGGGATATACAGAGAAACCCTGTCTAGAAAAACAAAATAAACAAACAAACAAACAAAAGAGTCAAAGGGGCTGGAGGGTTGGCTCAATGGCAGAGCACTGCCTAGCAACCATAAAGCCCAGAGCTGGAAAAAAGGAAGGAAGGAGGGAGGGAGGGAGGGAGGGAGGGAGGGAGGAAGACAGGCAGTTCCCAGAGACTTTAAAAACATCTCATACAAACAGACTTACAGATGACAAATAGGCATATAAAAAAAAATTCCACACCATATATCATTAGAGACATGTAAACTGAAGCTATATGAAGATACATACTACAGTCCCTACCACAAGCACGTAAATACTCACTCCTTCCGAGTAGGATGCAGAATGGCAGCTTCCTACAAAGCTAAACATGCTCACACCATACAATTCAGCAATCACACTGTTCAACACTGACCTAAGGAGGATGAAAACTCACCTGCCCAAAATGTGTAAATGGATATTATGCAAATTGAGCAGCCCTAATCTGATCATTTGAAATCCCGAACAGTCTAAAGCTTAAAATTTTCTGAGTGCCACACCATTAAAACGTGTTTCTTGCACAAAATCATGATGTAAAATTACCACAAGGCTGGAGAGATGACTCAGAAGTTAAGAACCCAGGTTTGATCTCCAGCACCCACATCAGGTGGTTCACAGCTGGCTGCCTGTAACTCCAGCTCCAGAGGATCCAAGGTCTCTGGTCACTGTGGGCACCCCCCCACCACACACACACACCACATGCACAAACAAGCGGCAGACACATACACCTGATTGAAAATAAAACATCTTTTAAAAAACTTACCAACAAGGTATATGTGTAAAGTATATATGAAACATCAATTTTGTGAGTAGACCTGAGTTCTGTCCCTAAGATATGTTTATATATATATATATATATATATATTCACATTCCCAACTCTGACTGTAACACACTTCTAGTCCCAAGTACTTCAAATAAGAGAAACTCTGTAATAGCTTTACTTACAACTTCTATTATATACTACATGTGTGCATCCCTCAAAACTTATGCTGAAACAGATATGGTGACTCACACCTGTAATCCCTCAGTTGGGAAGTGGAGGAGGAGAACTGCAAGTTTGAAGTCAGCCAAGGCTACAGAGTAAGAGCCATCTCAAAAAATGTTTTTCCTATGCTCTAATTTGATCCCCAGTTTGACGGTGCGTGGAGGGGAGCCTCTAGGAGGTCGCTCACCCACGTGTGCAGAGCCCTCCAGAATGGGTTAGTTCCTGCAGAGATGCCAGACAACTGGTTCAGCCTCTTCCTCGTGTTAGATAGAAGCCAGCTATCTGGAACCTAGAGGAGGCCCTGCATGAGAACCTGACCATCAGCACACTGGCCTATGAGGAACACAGCGTCTGATGCTTTGGCCACTCAGCCTAGAGTAACAGGTTACAGCTGCATGAACTGAAACCAATTTGTTCTGAGGCTTCTAACTTCTCCTTCTTCTCCTTCTCCTTCTTCTTAAAGATTTATTATATAGTATTCTGCCTGCACATGTCCTTGCAGGCCAGAAGAAGACACCAGATCTCATTACAGTTGGCTGTGAGCCACCATGTGGTTGCTGGGAATTGAACTCAGGACCTCTGGAAGAGCAGTCAGTGCTCTTAACCGCTGAGCCATCTCTCCTGCCCCAGCTTCTAACTTCTTGGATTGACCAGCTACTAAGTACTCTGGGTCTCCAGTGTGCTCCTAACAGTCCCTTTTCATGATTACCAACACACTCAATTGGATATCTTCCTCTAAAGAACCTTCAGATATAAATCTAGTTCCTCCTTTTTTCTTTTTCTTTTTTTTTTTTTTTTTTTTTTTTTTTTTTTTTTTTTTGAGCCAGGGTTTCTCTGTATAACAGTCCTGGTTGTCCTGGACCTTGCTCTGTAGACCAGGCTGGTCTCCAACTCCTGACAATTTCCTCTTTTATGTTTATGGCTACCTCCCTCTTTCACCTTCAACAGTAGTTTACAAACACCCTCACACTCCAATTCACACTTCCCATCATTCTTCTCACCACTAATTCCAGGGCCTTTGTGACGAGCCAGGCAAGTCCTGCATCTCTATTTTAAGAAGAAAATATTTCTCTATTTCTAGAAGCCAGGCGGTGGTGGTACACACCTTTAATTCCAGCACTCAGGAGGCAGAGGCAGGCAAATCTCTGTGAGTTTGAGGCCAGCCTGGGCTACAGAGTGAGTTCTAAGGCAGCCAGAGCTTCACAGAGAAACCCTGTCTTGAAACAAACAAAAAATCTTCACTAGATCTGCCAGGCATGGTGAGGCAAAATTGCTTAACACGTGGGAGGCTGAGGCAAGAGGATCTCTGTGGGGCGTTTATCCACCACCCCCACAGTTCCCCAGAGTTTTCTTGAGTGTGAGCAGCAGGAAATATTAGATAGAAGGATTTATTGTGGAGAATCTTGTGGAGATAAACAGATAGAAAATAAAGGATAGCCTGGAGAGGGCCTGGAACCTTTTCTAAAAGGCCCTGACTGTCTCTGCCCCAGGGTTTTTATAGAGACGCCAAGGGGTGGAGCAAAAGACCTCCTCCCCCAGCACAGCCAAGTGCAGACCACCTCAGACACCTGCACTCAGGCCTGTGGTCCTGATCATCCTCTATTTGGACCTGCTGGGTAAATCCATGAGGAACCTGAGGACGGGCTCCCACAGATCACCACAAGTTCAAGACTAGCCTAGTCTATCTAATGAGTTCCAGGCCAGCCTGAGCTACAGAGTGAGACCGTGTTTCAAACAACCAAATTAAAATCAAACAAGTCCTACCTAGTACTTGCTGAGCTTTGATTCTGAAAATGATGGACATCAAGCTCCTCAGAGTACAGTTAATCTTGTTAGCAATGTCTGAATGCTCAGTTAAGACAGTTAATGTCAGTTACCAAAACTAATCAAAATCTTATTTGAGTTTCCACAGTCGACCTACCTGTACTACTCAGGACCTTTCATTACGATAATAATAGAATGTACTTTGCATTCCGTGGCCTCAAGAAGAGAGTACTCTTAAATTTCTCAGTACTCATGGACAAAACTGTACCAAATAAAAAGGAAATAAGAATTACTCGAGACAGCCAAGGACTGGATTTGCTCAACTCCAGCATTCATTTTTACCACTGATTAGGACATCTGTCACAATTGAAGTCACATACCTAGATGCGTCCAGGAACGGCCTGTGGGCCAGGCTGATCCATTCTTCTCTGTTGGATGAATAGTTTGGCTCCCGAGGTGTTTCTCTCATGGTATCCAAATCCACTAAGTAATGGCACTTGCTGATGTCAATCTGCAACGGCAAAGGTCAGCTCTTCATCAGTAATTATGAAGGCCCCCGCAGAGTGGGACCCAGTTACAGCCCTGAGAATGCCCACAGCGCTGTAAAGGAATAAACACCCGAGCTACCTACGCTTCTTCCACTCTGCTGACAGCATGGGCGACCACTGAGGCTCCTGGGGACAGAGCATGCACTTGCTCAGACAAGCACATAGGAAGTTGTGGGTGGTCTGCAACTAGTCTATGTTTTTAAGTCTCTCTAGGCCCACAGACACTTCTAAAGCCATCTTGAGTGCACAGCCTAACTCGAGAAAGCCAGTCTTGTGCTCACTACTGCCCCCTTCATCTATCCTATTCTAGAGGTCTAAAGGGCATGATTAGTGCAGATGCCAGTCTAACTCTCCTGATGGAGCCAGCGGTGGAACTGCACCTCACAACACAGCAAGATCATGAGCATCTCCTGCAAGAGGTCAACAGAATGGACAGAAGTGTAAACTGTCTCCACAGCAGGCTCAATACAACTGAGGAACTACAGCAGCAGGAGTGAAGAGCAAGAAAAGCACAGAATATTAGCAGTAGTTGTTCAACATGGACACTCTAGAACCTACAGGTGAATATCAATACGTTCCCATCTTAAAACTGAAGAGGCCTGTTCATCAAAATCACCATTATGAGAGTAAGGCAACAAGCGTAGACTAGAAGACAGATTATACACATCAAGCAGTCAAGGTTCACAGTATATACATAATGAGCTCCTGTCAATCAGTAAAATAAAAGAAACCACCCAACAAGAAATGGGCAAGCTACTTTAGTAGGTATTTCAAAAATCTCATAAAGAAACAAATAAAAAGTGTTCAATTTCACTAGTAAGCAGAAAATATTAAAAAAATCACAATGAAAAAAATTACCATAGAAGTCAGGCAGTGGTGGTGTACACCTTTGATCCCAGAAGGCAGAGGTAGGTGGATCTCTGTGTTCAAGGACAGCCTGAACTACAGACTGAGTTCCAGGACAGCCAAGGATACACAGAGAAACCTTGTCTAGGGAAAAAAAAAATTAAGACAGATAATGTTGGCCATAAAGTTTGGTACAATTTTTTTTAGAAAACTATTTGGTAGATCTACCAAAACTGAACATCTGTATTTCCTATGACCTTACAATCACAGGAAACCATCTTAATATCCCTAGGTATAATAATATACCCAAGTATAAGATCAATGTATGAGCCGGGTGGTGGTGGCAGGCGGATCGATCTCTGTGAGTTTGAGGCCAGCCTGGGCTACAGAGTGAGTTCCAGGAAAGCTACACACAGAAACCCTGTCTTTAAAAAAAAAAAAAAAATCAATGTATGAAATCATTAATATTCAGTGTCTGGCATATAAAAATAATTTCATATAATTCAACCTAAAATATATCTAACAGAAATACCTGAACCATAAGACAAGTTCAAGAATGTTTAAAGTGAGGGTGCAAGAGGGCTCCATAGGTGAGGTGCTTCCCACCAAGCCTGAGGATCTGAGTCTAATCCCCAGGAGCCAAACAGTAGAAGGAGAGAACTGACTCTCTCAAGTTGTCCTCTGACCTCCACATGTAACCCATGGCACATGTGTGCCCACACATATATATATATACAAGCAGCACATATAAATAAATAAAAGGAAAGAAAGTTTAAAATAAAAACAAAAGCAAGAAAACTAGTACTGTAAAGTCAGCAGGCTACCTCGGAGATGATGTAGACCTGACCAAGGGAAGCACTGGGAACCTCTGGGTCTGGGTCATTCTACTTTTTGTCTTTTGAAATGGCTTCACAGGTACGCTCTCTTAAAACAATTAGCTGTACACTTACATTTTATATATTTAGGTTACACCTGAGGGAAGGTTTTTCCAGCACACACAGAGCAACCTGGTTTTTACTGGCTTACAGCAAGCTGTTATTTTCCAACTGCCACCTCACAGTAATGTTCTCCTTCTCTCTCAGTTGTATTTATGTCAAAAAGACTTTGGTCTCACATCTGTCTCTACATATGGGCTATTCCTCCAGGGGAAAGAAAGCACACTGAGAATTCACGTCAGACCCAATTCCATTCCACAGAACTCTCTAAAAATGGTGCTTTGCATAAACACTTCCGGAAGTAGCCTTTTTTCTCTCTGCCCGCCCGCTCTGCAGCTCCTGGGCGATTGTAAGAACATGACGACATTCTTTAAAGGCTTTCTGATGCCATGCTTCAAAGGAGAACCAGCAAGGGCAGAGGGCCTGATGGCCTCCTGCTTGGACTCCTTCCCACTGGGGGTCCAGGCCTGCACGGTTAGGTTACAGGCCCTCACCTCAGCCTGACCCTTCCTGGTCAGGCACACCGCAGGTCTAATTATGAAGTCTGGCTGGGTACAGTCTACTGTAGCTGGAGGCAGTAACTAACTTAGCAGTCAGCCCAGGCTCTACTCATCAAATCGTCCCTAAGGAAATTCTAAGTAAATTCAATTCTAAGTAAAGGTCTTCAAAAGACACCAAGGCAAAGCCAAATTGAGATAGCAATGCATTTTGTAAACGTTTAACTCTGCTTATCCTTTGGCAAACAGCTGCTGAAAACCAAAAGTCCCGACAAAGGTCTCCAGAAGCAGGGCTTAGGTATGGTCAGGGCAGGTTCTTCATTCAAGGGAAGATAAAGTTATTAGAAAAGAAACTTCAATGCAGCAGGCTTCATTTCGTTCTGGTCTACATTCTACCCCCAATTATGTGTGAGCCGCACTCATTTAAGGTTTTCATATAACTTCTTTGTCTGTAAAATGAACATACTACCACTAACTCCTAAGAGTTGCAATGAAGATCAATGAAATGCTTGAACAGAACTTACCAATTCTGAGGAACTACACCAATAGCTCAAATAATAAAGGAATATTTGACCAGCTCTGCAAAATGAGAACCTAACGGGGAAACCTGAAGCAACAGCATCCACCAGCACTAACCATCCTACTTTCAACTTGGACTGGTGTCTATTGCCAAGTCAAGCTAAACCCAGCCATGTAAAATGGAAGGGCTGCAGCCACTGACTATCCCTGACTGAATCAGAAACATGCACTAAATGGTATCCAAATCAATCATCAGGGAGTTGGAGAGATGGCTCAGTAGTTAACAGCACTTGCTCTTGCAGGGGACCCAAGTTGGGTTCCCAGCACCCACATCAGTTGCAAAACACATGCACAGACAAATCAAAAATTATATATATAAACTCTACACATGAGAAGGAGGGAAGAAGAGGGGAATGGAGGGAAAGACTGATTTCAATAATCACTTAAAACTCAAGACAGTCCCCAAATTACATGCTCTCATAGCACAGAGTGCTTCTCAAAACATTTCATAATTATCATCTATAAATAGTGAAATTGCTATAAACTTTACAAAAAGCTGGAGCCATGTCTATCTGATTCACTTTTTTTGTTTGTTTGTTTGTTTGTTTGTTTTTTGAGACAGGGTTTCTCTGTGTAGCCCTGGCCATTCTGGAACTTGCTCAGTAGACCAGACTGGCCTCGAACTCAGATCTGCCTGCTCTGCTTCCTGAGTGCTGGGATTAAAGGCATGGGCCACCACTGCCCAGCTGGCTGATTCACTTTTATATTCCAAAACACTACAAAGCACACAGTAAGTGTCTTATAAATGCATATTTAACAAATGAACAGGGGGAAAAAAGCATCTTAAGAGGAAGAGGGGAAGAAGGGGGAGGGGGAGAGGGAAACTAGAGGAGGGCCATATATGGTAGCATATGCCTGTAAGTCCAGTTCAGGGCTGAGGCAGGAGGATCAAGAGTTTGAGGCTACACTGGGCTACAGCCTGAGGTCCTGCTTCAAGAGACTCCCATTCCACACCCCTGAAAAAGTGAAGGAGAAAGAGATGAAAAGACGTGAGAATGAAAGAGACCATTTGAGAGGAAGGGATGTGCATACTAGGAAACAAACTCCAAGCCTACAAAAGGCTGTGAGAAGCGGAAAGACTGAGCAAAGGTGGCCCCTGAAACAGTCAGCATTATACCAAGTGTATTTATCTCCACTACAGTGTTGTGTGGGGACAAGGAAAGAACAGCCCAGCCCCTTCTTTCAGTGTCATCCTGATGTCCATCCAGCACCTGAGCCAACCCCCCAAGTCCTGAAAGAGGAAGGGTGTAAACTTGCATTCAGGCATGTACCAGCTAGAAACAACAGTGACGCACACACTACAAAAATAGTGTCTCTGTCTAGGGCCAGTGCAAAGTTCAAGGAGGATCACAGAGAAAGCATCTCCATAAATACCACAGACCTTATTTTATTTCTCTAATGTCACTCAAGATGCTCTAGTAACCAACTGTAGAAAAAAAACTGTAGGAGCGTAAGAGAATAATGTGACAATCTCTGGAAACCAAATGTCTGTCCTGTCATATCCAAAACAAGGATTAAAGCTGAAAAAAAAACTAGACATTTTTCCCACAGCTAAAATTTGGTACCGAGGCTGCCCAATTCAACAATGACTGACATGAACTATTAATACTTAACCTCTGAAAAAGAATGTCTTTCCAAACACACAATGTCTGATTAATGTCTCCTCATATGCCTCTGTAAGCAACTGCAGTGAGACCCAGGACTTATAGCTCAGTCCTCCAAGCTCTTTAAAGAGAGGATTGGGTTTTTCTGGGTCAGCATTATCCCCCTGATACCTGATACCACACCTGGCAGGTCCCAAGCATCTACAAGGCCTTGTGGCAGGAAATAATGGTCACCATGGTCACCACCAGTCACCACAAACACCAAGACAATCCAGACTAAAAGCCATCTCCTGTGCTGAAGAGCCCTCCCCGGGCTTCTAACCCTGGGAGGCAATCTAGTCCCTCCATGATCTCCTACAACAAAGATCAAATCGCACCATCATAAATCACACCATCATAAATCACACCATCACAAATCACACCATCATAAATCACACCATCATAAATCACACCATCACAAATCACACCATCACAAATCACACCATCACAAATCACACCATCA